TCTCATAGAGCAAAGCCAACTCATCATTGCGCCGGACAAGTTGGGACCCCAGGATGTCTGTCTCACTGATGACCTAGAAAGGTGGGGAAGGGCATGGAAAGAGAAACCAACACACAATAAATAATGTATTTTATTTTCACAAAAAAAAAAAAAAAAAAAAAAAGAAGATCAAGTGTCATTTTTATCATATCATATCAAGGGCACCTGCCTTGCACATGGTTTTTGGTTATTGGTGTTGACCTTGATTGCGTGGCTGGAGTAGCCTTCGTTTTTGCCACTGGAAAACAGTTCTTTTTCCTCCCTTTTCGCACCACACTGTGGGGAAGCAAGTTATGTGCACAGACTGCAGTTCAAGAATGGGGAGTTGTACCCCTACTTACGGTGGAATATCTGTGTAGTGTACAGAGTCCTTCCACATGGCAGCTTTTATCCATTGCTGGCTTGTTTTATTAACTTTCTCTAGTTGCTCTGACTTTGGGCCCTAGGAGTTCTTCCAGTTGGCTCCCATGCCCCCTTGCCATGTGCTGTGTGTGTTCATATGTGTGTACCGAGTGCTTTCTTACTTTCTGGTGCAACACAGTGCTCCAGGCTCCTTCCTCTCTTTCCCTTCTTCCCTTCTTTATCCCTCCCTCATTTCCTTCCTTCCTTCCTTTCTTTTTGGTAGAACTGGGGTATGAACTCAGGGCTTTGTGCTTGCAAAGCAAATGCTCTACCACTTGAGCCACACTTCCAGTTCACTTTTTCTGTAGTTATTTTGCAGATGGGGAGGGGGGTCTCTCAAACTGTTTGCCTAGGCTGGCCTCAAACCACAAGCCTCCCAGTCTCAGCCTCCCAAGTAGCTAGGATTACAGGTGTGAGCCCTTGGCACTTGGCTCAGGCTCATATTTTGTGTTTCCTGTTGAGTCCTAGACACCTTGGTCTGACAAATTTCCTTTTAGGGGTCTTGGTGCTCACAACTGCTGGTTGAAAGGATTAAATTGTGTTTATCCACTCACAAGTGTTTTTGAGTGCAGTCCACATACAAGGCCCTATTTTAGGTACTGACAACACAGTGAACAAAACAGACAGTGGTCTCTGCCCTCACGGGACCAGGTTTGTTCATCCATTCTGTGCTGGCCACAGTGTTTAATCTTAAGGAATTTATGAATCAGTAGAGAATATAGACAACAATGGGTACACAGGCAAAACCGACTGAAAAATGTACTGTGCGGGAGGGTCACAGTCTGAGGCTGGCCCTGGAGAAAACGGGAGACCCTCTGAAAAACAACGAAAGCAAAATAAATGAAGGAAGGAATGAATAAATGAATGCTGGAGGCACGGCTCAAGTGGTAGAGCACCTGCTAAGCAAACGTGAGGCCCCGAGTTCAAACCCCAGTACCTCCAGAAGAAAGAAAACGGTGTTGAAGGCAATGGTATGAGGGTGGCCAGCGGAGCCTCTGGAGGTGACACTGGAGAGGAAGACAGCAAGTGCTCTCGTGTGACTCTCTGTCTGAAGTCTCTAAGTGATGACAGTGTCATGGAGCTGTCTGTTCTTCACCTTTTCCCCTTCTTCTGGGGTTTTCATTGTCTAATTCAGGAAATATCAATGGCAATTCATTAAACAGATTTAATTCTGCTTTTTTAGTTTTTGGCAGTACTGGGGTTTGAACGCAGGGACTTACACTTGCTAGGCATTTGCTCTGCCACTTAAGCCACTCCACCAGCCCTTTTTTTGTGATGGGTATTTTCGAGATAGGGTCTCGCATACTATTTTTCCAGGGCTGACCTTGAACCTCGATCCTCATGATCTCTGCCTCCTGAGTAGCTAGGATTATAGGCATGAGCCACCGGCACCTGGCTTAATTCGGTCTTCTGATGTTTAATGACTACTGTTTTTCTTTGGCCTGTAATTCATAAGCAGTGAGAAGCAAGACAGGATGAAGAGCATGTGCTCAGGTTTCATGGTGGTGTCTGGCAGGCAGATGCTGCCTTGAGAGAGCTTGCCTTTGGCCTCCAAGGTTTAAATGTCCAGAATTTTCACCTAACTCCCCAGACTTAACAGCATTTCCACTAAAATATCTAGGTGTGGCCCCAGGGCCTGTGTCCTGCAGAACCGTGGTCACTCAGGACTGGACAGGAGCCCCTGTGATGGGGTGCATGCTGTCAGACCTCACAGCTTCCTCTTGCTTCCCTGCTGTCCTCACCTGCTGTTGGAGCAGTAGGAACTCCATATTGAAGTGGTTTCTTAGCCCTAGAAGACAGACATTTGTGAGAACTTAATGGCTCACCTGTGGCGTCACTAACACAGAGCAGACATGAGCACAGCCTTTCAGCATCTGCGTTTCTGCACACAGGTGGCAGGAAGCATATGGTCTCTTAATGGATAGCTGGAGGCGGCTATCTCTACTGACAACAAACTGAGTCACAGAAGCCCTGAGAGGTCTGGACAGCATCAAGCCAAGACAGCCTCATGACACCTGTAGCCTGCAATTCAAAAATAACTTCTTTTCAGCTGGGTATGGCAGCCAGTGCCTGTAATCCCAGCTACTCTTGAGGTGGAGATCAGGATGATTGAGGTTCCAGCCCAGCCTGGGCAAGAAATTAGTGAGATTCCATCTCAGTCAATAAACTGGGTCATGGTGTGCACCCAAGGTCCTAGCTATGATCATAGTCTGAGGCTAGCCGTGGGCAAAACTGTGAAACCCTACCTGAGAAGTAATCTATAAAGCAAAAAATGGGCTGGGGGCATGACTTAGGTGGCCTAGCAAATGTGAGGCCCTGAGTTCAAACCCCAGTACAGCACCCCCCACACACAACAACAAAGAAAAACCCAAACTTCTTTTATGAGCCAGGTTATCCTCCTTGTCTCCTGGCTTCATTAGCCTGCTGTTGCCAGCAGACAAGCTTGGGTCCAGTAGCATTGTCACGTACCTGGGTCTTCTGTGAATGCTTGACCAAGTCCTTTCAGAAGGTTTTTTTATGTGTTTAAATATCTCCCACATATGTCTGTTCAGCATTCCCAGTACCATTGTGAAGAGGCTGGCTTTTTCCTCAGTGGGTGTTCTTGGCCTATGGATTTCTTTCTAGACCCTCTATATTTGCTCTGTTGGTCTGTGTATCTGCTGTAAGCCAGTTCCATGCTGTTTGGATCCCTGTTGCTTGGTAGTATATTTGAATTCAGGCCACTGGTGTGATAGCGCCAGCATTTTTTTTTTAATTGAGATAGGGTCTTGCTTTGTAGCACAGGCTGGCCTGGAACTCACAATCCTCATGCCTCAGCCTCCCCGTGCCATACCTGACCAGCTTTGTTGCTCATCCTTGTGTTGGCTATTTGGGGGCTTTTGTGGTCCCTATGAGTTTTAGGATTTTTTTTTTTTATATTGTTGTTAAGAAGGACATTGGTGCTGGAGGTATGGCTCAAGAGGTAGAGTGCCTGCTTTGCAAACGTGAGGCCCTGAGTTCAAACCCCAACCCCACCAAAAAAAAAAAAAAGACATTGGTGTTTTGATAAGGGTTACATTATCTTTGCCTGCTGCATCTGATCTGCTGATGCTGGGCTAGATGATTCCACCATGCACCCAGGGGTAAGAACGACACCCCTGTCAACTTACCCTGTCTCTAGAGTCACCTCTGGCCTGCACTTGCAGGGGTGGAGACTTCTCTTGGCATCCACTCATTTGTCCTGTCCCTGGTAGGCAATAAAGGCTTATAACGTAAATGAGTACATTGTATTTTAATTTCAGTATGTATTGGAGCTCTAAAACACATTTTCTAATTCAGATGGATGGATTTTCTTTGCTTAGCTTTCTTTAATAGCTAACACATCCATGTGGTCTAAGATCACAGTGTACAGTGGAACACGGAGGAAATTGTCTCTTCAGTTGCTGTCTGACAGTGCACCAGGCCTGCCCACACACAAGTGCAAACATGTATTCTTGTTTTATCTTATATTTTGCTCAAAAGGTAGCTTATTAAAGCAATGTTCTCTTTACACCTTGATATATTTCAGAGATCTTATATTAATAGAGAGCTTTCTTTCTTTCTTTCTTTCTTTTTTTTTTTTTTTTTGAGACAGGATCTTACTACATAGCTCAGGCTGGCCTCGTAATCGTCCTGCTTCAGCCTTCCAAATGCTGGGATTACAGACATGAGCCACCATGCTCGGCTGCCTTTTAACAGTTAAAAAAATACCTTTCATTCTTTGTGCAAATTATAATTTTTCAAACAAGTACTTCATTGAAGGACATTTGGATTTCTCTAGACATTTGCTACTGCAAACAACTGCAGTGGTACCCTCATCTGTGTGTCTTTTCACACACACATATACACATGTGGGTAAAATATATCTCTGTAATAAATCCTGAGTGGAGTGGCTACAAGTGTATGCATGTATAATTTTAATATATGTTACTAAATTACCCTGTGTAGGAGTTGTACTATCAGATTTATTATTTAAAATTAATGCTGGTATTTAGAATATGTTTTAAAAAGAATATTTACTCTTTGTATTGTTTTATTTTCTTTGAGGATTTATTTTGTAGGCTCTCTGAATTTTGATAGGAGTAATAAGATTGTTCTAGATCATTGGTTCCTATTAATGGTCAAAGACCCCCACGGGGTTCTCAGACTCATGTGCTGAACAAACATCAGCTATGTAGGAAATAAGCAAGGCATGTTACAGGTGTCAAGCGCACATAGGCACTGTCACAGTAATAAAGCAAGAATTCTTTTAATGGTGTTTCTGAATCCTTAGTTCAGTTAATAACAGCTTGACAGCTTACTGATGGTTCCTTTATTTAGATGGCCTGTGGGGTTTTTTTTGGTGACACTGGGGTTTGAACTCGGAGCCCCACGCTTGCTAGGCAGGCACTCTGCCACTTGAGCCACTCCTCCAGCCCCACGTGCATTTTGATGCCATGTTAGTTTCATTTGGTTTTCTGTCAGTGTTTTCAAAGTAACTTAGTCTATGGATATAGGGAACAGATGACTATTTTGTAACAGAACTCATCTTTCTCTTGTAGATGTCCCTTTGAGAACCAGCCTGCCACTACCATTCAGAAATTATAAATATGGTAACTATTTTTTATTCTTTTAAAATGTATATAGGGTAATTTTGCATTAGTTTTTTTGTTGACGTGAATTCAAATTTGGTTTTGAAAGTTTAATTTAACATCTGGAACTAAAAGTGAATTTGGAGGCGCTGGAGGTAGAGCTTACTGGTGGTCTACATGCGCTTAGTATGCACAAGGGCCTGGTTTAGTCCCCCAAACCCCCCAGAAAAAAATCAATTCGGAAGTTTCTTAACAAAAATGGAAATTCTGGTATGCTGTTCAAGTCCATATAACCGTTTAGGGAAGTGGCACGTCTATGAGGAATAGCATGGCTGGCAAACCTCTTTCTAAAATGGGTTTCTTTGTCAGATAATCTGAGAAGAAAAATGATTGAGGACTAAAAATTAAAAGAAGAAATTTAACATTTTAAATGTCAATAGCTTGAGCAGATTAGTCTTACGTGTTGCAGTTGGTGATTTAAAAAATATAGTAATAAGGCCAGAGACTGGGTGTCGTTATTCAGTGTAAAGACGGTACAGTTTCTCTCAGCATTGTGACATTCAGCAAACATGAATTTGCAACTTGACTTGAAAATTATGATGCACCTAATAAATATCTCTGCTAATTGGCACAGACATTTTAAAGTATAAATTTTTTATTACCTTAGCTCATGTTTTGGAGTGGCTTTTCATTCTGTTGCCATTCGGTGGGGCACCCAGTGACCCATCGTCCTTTGAAATCACAGTCTGCTCATGTGTCTGCATTTTAATATCCAGAGACTAATTGTGAGGTCATAAGGGGTAGTCAAGCAGGAGTTGAAGGCGCTGAGTGGAAAGGACCTTGACTGATTGCACCCCAAGAATTTACACACTCAGTATTGAGTAAGAGAGAGGAATAAAACCTGATTAAGGTAAATAAGAAACTTTTCAATTGTGGCTTTCATGGCCTTTGAAGAAGAGTGCCTTGAAATGGAACCTTCAGCTAGAATCACCCTGCAGGTGCCTCTTAAATCATAATAGTTACATAAGGTTTCCTTTTGTGTGTGTGTCTGTATTCAAACTTGTGTTCCTACATTATTTCAAAAGAAATTTTAAAATAATGTTGGCATCAGACTATCTGAAATGCTGAGCACCATTGTGGTAGGTAATGACCCTCTAAATTATTTCGTCTGATTAACCCCCTTGTATCCTAGCATTTCTATTCAGATTTCTGTATTCAGGTGAACTGGAAGAAGAATGACAGGAAGAACTTATAGAACAACTGGAGTTTTAAAAGGCTTCAGAGGCCCTTTGTCTGGGTTTGGCTCTTGAACAATGGGCTGCTTTGTGTTCAGCAGGAGAGGCTAAGTTACTTTTTCACCTGTCCTCGTCACCCAGTGTTGCGACATGGCCTGTGTGAACAGAACACTGCTATGGGTGTGGGGAGCAGGAAGGGGGCAGAGTCAGATTTCAGTGTTACTTCTTTCTGCTCTTGGCAAAGGGCTGGCACTCTGGGCATTGGTTGTTGACTTAACCACTCACACTACTCATTGTTTGATCCTTTCCTGCCTAGACATCACACACTCAGGCACACGTTAACGTTGACTCATGTCCAGGGCGCATATGCTACTCCCAGTCTGATTTAGAAGGCTGTGTAAAATTAGATTAAACATCACAGTGCCAGCGTGTTAAGTGCTCCACAAATACATGGTACTGTTTTTATTCTTTTCTCTTTTGTATGTGGTACTGGGGAAGATACTATTTTTATAAGGTAACTTTCCTCAAGGATTTTCATTAAATACAAAAGCCACAGATGTTGTTTTTGTTAACAATGAGCATATTTTTAGCAAGTCAAAGTAAGTGAAGTAGACCGCTTACGTAATGAAGACCTTCTGCTAGCCCGCTCTGCTTGCATTTCACCAAATTCTGTTGGAGAGAAAAAGCAGGTGAAAATTTCTATTAAGTGCATTTCTTTTTCCACTTAGAAAAATGTAGTTTTCTTGTTGTGGGTTTGCCAAACCGATTTAGACAAAGTTATTTCTCATTCATAGGCTATTAGCAAAATACCTAGAATATTATTAATATTTCTAAGTTCAAACTTCAGTTTGCAGGTTGATTGTAAGAGATTTTAAGCTTTTTTATTAAAACAAAGTCACTGTTGGCTTCTCTAACTTGTCTCAAGTAATAAATGGATACAGATTTATTATTGAGAAAAAGAATATAATAAGGTAACTCAGAACAATAGATAATGCAAAAGTTACATTTGTTTATTTTTTTAGGACAGTGTTAACTGATTTTTTAACATTTATGGCATATTTACATCCCTAATATGCATATTTTACTTAGAGTAGATTTATTTTTACTTAAGAATATAGAGTTATAAGCTGGGTGCCAGTGGCTCACGCCATTAATGCCAGCTACTTGGGAGGCAGAGATTAGGAGGATCACAGTTCGAGGCCAGCCTGAGGGAATAGTTTGCAAGACCCTGTCTCGAAAATACCCAACACAAAAGAGGGCTGGCAGAGTGGCTCAAGTGGTAAGAGCACCTGCCTAGCAAGCGTGAGGCCCTGAGTTCAAACCCCAGTGCTGCCAAAAAAAAAAAAAAAAAGAAGAAGAATATACAGTTATAGACCTAGTGGTGCTGCCCTTGTGGTAAAAATGGCAATAGAAAAAAATTGTAAGATGGTTGAAAGTTAACTACTTAAAATGCCAGGTAATTCAGAGTGCCAATTCTTACCTAGGTGATAGGTACCCTAGTCTATATTTTGACAACATAGTTAACTCTAGGTCTGTTTTTAAACAGATCCTTCCATTTCATTTCCCCACTGGAATTTCTTGTTACAGTGTGACCAATTTTTAGTTTTCCGTTGAGAGGTTATGCAGATGTAATAATACATTGTGATCATTAAGAATTAAATGGCTAGCTAAAACTGAGTGGAGAGCTGGGGCCTCTTGGAATTTAAACCTGTCGAATAGCTACATCCGCTGTGTAATTGTGCAAGAGGTGATTGTCGCAGGTAGAATTTTCCCAGGGTGTGGAGAAATTGCCCATTACAAAAGCTCACCTTGCTTCAGAATAAGCAGATTGAAGCTGGGCATAAAGCCCCCTACATGGTGACAGCCTGTGTGGTATTTGAAAACCAAGACGCAGATATTGGTAATCTTTGGGTGTTGGCAGCCTGGCTGGGATTGCCAGTGATCCAGATAACGTGTGACTACCGACAGTGATGACACTTCCAGCACGGTCATTCGACCTCCTGTCACTGTGTCTCCCCTGAGCTCAGTACGCTTTTAAACCGCTGTTGTTAATGTCTGTCTTAATTTAAGATACATATGTACTGTTTTTTACATTATTTACTTATCGTACCCTTAAATGATTCTAAAATACAAAATGGAGTGATATGATTCTCTTTGCTCGTAAGGGAAAATATGGGGGTTGACTTCAGGTGCGATACACACACTGTGGCTGGTGTCAGAGGCCAAAGCTTTAAAGTGTCTTCATACTTTTATCTTTGTGTGTGTGTGTGTTTTTTTCTTTTTCCGGTTCTGGGGATGGAACCCAGGCCCCCATGTGCTAGGTGAGTGCGTCACCACTGCGCCACCCCTCCAGTAACTGCAGATGGCGCTTTAGACAACCTTCTAAAGACAACTTGCTTTTTTCTTTCAGATAAACTAAAGATCATTCATCAAGCACATAAGTCAAAGGTATGTAAAGTATATTGTACACATGTATGAAAATGTTGTAATGAAACCCATTGTGTATACAATTAATATATGCTAATAAAATTTTTAAATAAAATAAATCACAGGTCCGCGTATAGCAGTAACCGGTGTGGGTTGAATTGGTGAGTAAGTGAATGAACACGTGTATGTTTAATATCTTTTCCAGTATCGGAGCATTTTTTATTTTGTAGGGTTTCTTTCTATAGCCTTCCTTTCCCATTAAATAAAAAAAATAATTCACATATACTTGTTAGTAGTAGATGCTTTATAAAGATGTTAAATAACATGGTATCCTTTAAAAATATATCTAGCATGTGTTTATATAAAACTTGGTGAAGTCAGGTTCCATATAAGGAAGCCACTTCCTATCTGGCAGTCTGGCCTCTTTGACTTTTCCTAATTCTGCACCAGAAGAAGAGGGCAGCCGTGGACACTGGCAGAAAAGCTGCTGTCTTGGCACTGGTTGTCCAAGAAGGCCAGGACTGGGTCTTAAGGCCCACAGGCCACAGCCTGAGACTCTAAATTCATCTTCTTCAGCCAGAGCTGTTTACATATGTGCACATTGTGTGCTCATATTTCTGCTTCTTACTTTTTACAGTAATGTTTCGGTGAAGTTATAATCAAAGATAGAGTGGTCTTTTCTTGAGTCCCAGGCCGTATGTGGGGGCTCCCTGAAGCAGCCATCTTGCTCTATTATCTGAACTGCTCAAGAGCAAGGCTCCATATCTTATTCTTCATACTTTTTTTTTTTTTTGGTGGCACTGGGATTTGAACTCTGGGCCTCAAACTTGCTGGGCAGGCACTCCACCACTTGAGCCACTCCATCAGCTTATTCTTCATTCTTCTTGGTTTCTCTAATACCTAGTTCAGTGCCTGAGTTGTAGGCGTTATGTTATGGAAGCATAACAATTTTTGGAACACTTTGTTCCATTCTTGTCTCTAGTCAGAGGTGCACTCATAAATTCAGTCAACTTTCAGGTAAATATATGCCTCATATCACAAAGACAATGGCAGAGGGGTGTATCTGATTATGGGTTAGCACTTCATGGGGATTCTGTTTTGAAGCACTGTTCACTGTCAGATGCTTCAAAATCTTGTGCTTATGTATGTGGGGGCTTCGGTGTGGCTTCTGCCCCTTTTATGGCCACTAAAATGGCCTACCACTGTGTTTGGACACAGACGTTATCTACTTTCTCTTCTCAGGAATGTTTTAACTTGGTTCCTAAAATGTGGAGACTAGGCAGTGTGGTCCTCCCCTGGGACTGGTCCTGGGACTGTCTTGGAGACCAAAACCCACAGGTGCTCGAGACCCAGAGATAAAGTGGCAGGTGTCTGTGTGTGACCTACACACACACGTCCTCCTGTATACTTAAATTATTTCTACATTACTTGTAATGCCTAATAACTGCAGTGTCATGAAAACAGTTGTTATACTGTGTTGTCTAGGAATAATCACAAGAAAAAAAGATCCTTACATGTTCCACATACACACAGCCAGTGTAGCTTAGTGATGTTTCCAGTCCACAGTTGGTCAAGGCAACCGCGCCCATCCTTGGATACAGAGGCCGACTAGGCTGCACCTTAGGCCTTTTTGTTTTTGTTTTTCCATTTGAACAGTTCGTTTGTTAAGGGGGATTCCCAAAACAAATTTAAGTCACTTTCTGGACCCCAGCTTTATGAAGTCTGTTGCAAACCATACAATCCCAGGTAAGTGCAGACTCTGTACCTGGAGGAGGAGTCTGCACGTTTCTGAGGAATTCTGATTTCCTTACAGAGTTTTAAAACATCAGAAAAATGCCTTAGCCGGCCGCCACATGTTTTCCTCACCTCCAAATGAGTGTCCTTTCCCACCCTTGTCACAAACACTTTGGAAATAGGAATATAAGCTCTGTGGTTAATTGCCCAGATGCATTAAAGTGAGCGCCTCCTAAGATCTGTGCATTTTATTATGTTGAATTCATCTTCAATTTAACAAAAAAGTAAAACATGTTATGAGGGATTCAAAATAAGACTCAAAAGTGCTGAGGACGTTTGGATAGTGACATGCAACACAGCAAGGTGTCACCTCTCAGCCTGGTTCACACCCGTGAAGCTCCTGAAGGTAGGAGGATCCCAGTCCAAGGCTGACCTAGGCAAAGTGCGAGACCCTACCGAAAAACACACTGAAAGCAGAAGGACTGGGGGTGTGGCACCTGCCCAGCAAACCCAAGGCCCTGAGTTCAATCCCCAGTACTGCCAGGAAAAAAAGTAAAGATGTCAGTTCTCCCTTTCTTAATTTACAGATTTAATGCTGCGCAATAAAATACTAATAGTGGTTGTGCGATATAGTTGATTATAAAGTTATATTTAAAAATCAGTAGTCAGGAGAATTCTGAAAAGAAGAGAAGGAATGGTGACTGGCCCTATATTAAGGCACGATACAAAACTGTAATAGTTAAAGTAGGGTGGCACTGGCACATGAACGGGAATATACACCCGGAATATAGTCCAGAAATAGACCCAAACATGTGCAGGAAGTTAGTACACAGCAAAATGGCAATCTTCTTTATAAGTTCAGAACATGAAATTCATAAAAATACTTGTGTGATATAAAACAAAGCAACCATAAAGGTCTGATACATTTACTTTTCATGCACTTACTAACAGAAATTTATTTAGCACCTTTTTGTGTGGTACTGAAGTTTGAACTCAGGGCCTTGTGCTTGCTTTGTAGGCATTTGAACCATGCCCTCGGTCCTTTTTTTGCTTTTGTTATTTTTGCCCAAGGAGGATTGCAGCCTTGAACTGCAATCCTCCTGCCTATGCCTCCCACATAGCTGGGACTATAGAAGTGTACCACCATGCCCAGCTTGTTGGTTGAGATGGGGGTCTTGCTAACTTTTTACCCTGGCTGGCCCTTGAACTGCAGTCTTCTTGACATCTGCCTCCCAAGTAGCTGGAATTACAGGCATGGCCACCACAACTGGCCCTAGCACTTTTTTTTTTTTTTTAGAGAAACACTGTAAGAGCTGGGGATGGTGACTCATGCCTGTAATTCCATCTATGTGGAAGACATGGGTAGAAGGATCACAAGCAGAAGGCCTGAGTTCAAACCAAGTGAGAGAGAGAGAGAGAGAGGGAGAGAGAGACAGAGAGAGAGAGAAACTCTACAAGAAAAGTCAAGGAACAAATAAAAAGTGGAGACATTTTTTCTAACATAGATAAGGCCTAAATTTCCTTGTATATTAAGATATTATACAATTATATTAGATAAATTACCCTACAACTCCTTTAAAAACCAGAAAATATTCATAACTTCATTGATGACAAAATAAATACAGATTAAAACTGTATTTAGTGTACATCTGTCAGACCTACACAGAACATTTTGGTAAGTCATGTCGCTGTTGGCCAGAGCGTGGGCAGCAGGTCCCCTGGTGACTGGTGCTGCTTCTTGGGACTGTTGGTGACATCTGCTGGAATCAAAGTCACGCACAGCTCTCTGACCTGATGACTCTACTTCTAGGAACTTATCATACAGATCAAACTGTGCGTGTGTCCTGCACGAGGATATTCATTGCAGGATTATTTATGGTAGCAAGAGGTTTGGTACAACTTAGATGCCATCAGTAAGGACTGAGCATGTGTGTCCTTCAATGAAACCTGTTGCAGGTGCTTACTGATGCTGATGGGTTGAGCAGAAGTGCAACGTGAGAACTCGGCAATTAGTAAGCCGCAGTTTGTGTAGACGTTTCTGCTGTGTTGCACAGAGACAGCGTCTGGCAGGATGCATAGAACTAGGAACTGGTACAGCTTCTTTGGGGGAGACCTAGGTAGCTGGAGGGCAGGGGTTGGAAGGAGATCTACTTCTCTCTCTCTTCATATGTGATTAGTTAATTTTGTGTCATATTACCTGTTCTGGATTGAATTTTTTACAAAAGCTTTTTTTCCTTATAGTGCATGCGCTCTGGAGCTTGAGTCCCTGTGCTCTGGGGTGAATGAAGTTCACGAGCTTTGGAACGTGGCCTCTGGCTTTGGGGGCTTCATTTTGGCAGCAGAGAGGCCTTCCTGTCCCAGCTGTGTTATAGAAATAGGACATGTTGGTAACTGGCTGCATTGTGGTTGACAAGTGGGACTATGTGCCCAAGTAACAGTCACTTCCGTGTGCTGTTTGGGGACAGTTCTCAGCTCCAGACTGTTCCTGTATTTATGATGTCTAACTGGCTTTGTAAATATCACTGGACAGCAAAGTCATCCCCCTCACCACAAATCCCGTAGAGAAATAGTACAGTTAATATGACATGAGATGACATCCTCGTTAGCCTGGGCAAGGTGTTTGGATATGTGGACTTTGGGCCGTTTGAGGTTGAGTTGCTTCTCTCAGAAGTCAGATGGGTGGGAGCCTGGACCCAGCTCCAGTGGACTGTACCTTAGCCTTGTGGAGGCAGTGATGACATCAGATCACAGCTCTGTGCTTACCATGTGTGCCCAGGGTCCATGCACTTCCTCTTAGGTCCTCACTGCAGGGTGACGGGAAGACACAATCTCTTCCCCTTCTGTAGAGAACACCATTGGTTCTGAGGGAGTCTGAGTCTGAGCCCAGGTCTCACTCCAAAGCCCATGCAGTAGCAAGGTCACTGCAGCACAGTGTGTGCACGTAGTAGGTGTGTACTGTGTATCTGCTCCCTTCTCTCCTGCACAGTGGGAGTGGAATGTGTTAGGTTATTGCTCTGACTCTAGAAGCGCCACTGAAATGCAAGTCTTCTTTCTCTGCAGACGAACGAACTGGTGCTGAGTTTGGAGGAGGATGACAGACTTCTGCTGAGGGAAGACAGCACTCTGAGAGCAGCGGGAGTTGGTGAGCATGGGACTTTGTGTCCAGGAGGGATTCTCTGCAAAGCACAGAATTCTCTGCTCCCCCACTGCTTGTTCCCCTGTCCCTCACTTCTCAGGGGACAAGGATGCTCAGTGTTCCCATCATTTGACCAGGGCAGTGGCTGTCTGCTGTCCATCTGTGCAGAATGCAAGCAGTTCTTCTCAGAAGGCTTGCTCAGAATTCTGTGAGGGTCGTTCAACATGACTGGCAGGTCACTAGTGTCATGGTACTTCCTCACATCAGCGTCATTGGTGTGGACGGTGTAAGGGAAGAGGCTGTAGAAGAGAGTATGGAATGATAAAATGAGATGTTGTTTGTACAACATGCACGTGGTTTCTGGTACTTGTCCAAGCCACCCAGGATCCATCAAGGTGCAGAATTTAAAATAGGCGCTTAGTGTTTGCAGCTTAACCTTTCAACCTACAACATGCATGTAGTTCTGTTTTAAAGAAAGGCTATGTGACATGTCCTATGGCCATTAGATGTCACTGTTACCCTACTTATATGCTACTTAAAGATGGGCTGGCTGTAAGGTGTGAAGACAAGCAGGGAGTCCTTAGCAGTTGAGGGCATCATGCCTCTGACACGCCTCTGTGGCTGGTGACCATAATGGAACATCACACTTCACCCTTCCTTCATAAATCTCTGTGCACGCTGGTTAAGGAACACTCAGAGCAAGGTGCATGCTGGGAAGCTGGGCATTTTTTTGACTGGTGTTCTATTGAGTTACTTTAATCACACGTGTCAGGAATTCACGTTTGAGTGATTTGCATGACCTATGTGAATTCGTGGCAGAGATCTTTCCATTTTGATAGGATGTAAAATAATAGGTTGTGAAACTACAGACTTCTTTTCCAGGTTAGGTTTACACTATGTGCTAGAATTAATGTCTTCTCATATTATGAATGCATAAGATTGATTATTATTTGAAAAATGGATTTTCACTTGGTATTTGTTTCTTCAGATGAGATATGTGGCCCCTAGAGTAGCTTGGCTTGTTTTTAAAGCAGAAGCTATAATAGATGTAATAGATTACTGTGGGTGTGGGAATTGACAAGTAGTTCATGGAAAAGTCTGGAAAATCCAAAAACAAACTAAAAAAATAAAAAGGTAAGATTTTGTAAGATGATCAAATTGACATCTCTGATAAATGGAGAAAGAATGAATGAGCCAGAAAATTGAATCAGGCCCATTGCCAAAGTAGTCAGGAAAATAAATTGCAAATTTTTATCTCAGTCTTTATTTCAAAATAAATTCTAGGTGGATGAGATATTTATAATGAAAAAAAATTCTTTGAAATGTAGCTTAGTGATTTCGTAATCTTGGGGAGGCAAGCTTTCAAAGTATGATATCTAAGTCAGGTCCATGAGGGGAAAGGTGATAGAAAGGACCCTATAAACTATAAACAGAGCTAAAGGAGAAATAAGCAACCATGAAAAAATGTGTGCAGCATACATGACAGATAAAAAAGTTATTGCCCTGACTTTATAATGAGCTCTTATAATTAGCATGAAACAGATAAACAAGAAAATCTACTGACAAAAGGAACAGCTAACACAAAAATAGTTCCACCTTGTTGATACTGAGAGACAGGCACTTTAAAATAGACACTCCTTTGCACAACTAGTCCAGTGGTTTGGAATTGCAGCCCAGAGCCAGGGTGCCTGGGCTCCAGCCGATTGCACCTCTTACTGGCTGAGTGACCCTGGGACAAGCAGCCATGATTACAGGATTAGCGTCTGTGGCGTGTGGGAATGCGTGCTGCCTGGAGTTAGTCCTGAGCTGTGGCATACCTTCAGAGGGTGGGGGTTCTCTCTCTCTCCTTCCGATTGTGAATCTCGTAGAAATAGAATGTATGGGGTGATACCGTTATCATTTAAAAATGTGCGGTTTACGTGTTTGCAGGTGCAGATGGAGGAAAGATCACAAACCAAAACCATAGAAGTGGCTTCTTGGGGTGCTGGCCTTGCCAGCATTTGATTTTTTTTCCCCCTTCTTCTCTGTTTTATCTATTATTTCCATTTAAAACTTTCTATGTATTATATATTTATGTTTATATGTGTTATTTGTAATTAAGGAACCAATTTCTAAAAAAGAATAAATCATTAAAGATGGGGAAAGAAATCAGTTTGAGTGATGTCTGTACATCTTACTCACTTTGTGACCTTCTATGAGCCAGTTGGCTTCTCTGAACCTCTGTTGCATTTTCTGTGAAAATGGAAACCACAAAGCCTATTTCAGAAGATTGTCATAGGGTTGAGTAAAAAGAATGGAGGTCTGGGAACAGTGCAGGAAGGTTGCATTGTCTTAGGGTTTTGTTTGGAAACCGTTCTGGAGATGACAGCTGGCAAGTATTTTGAGTGCACTAACACTGAGTTGGCGTCACATCATTCATTTCAGACTCACTTATTTAGCACACCCCCTGCAAAGGCGAGAACCAGGTCCACCTTTCTGTTATTCTTGTTTTAAGCCAATGGGACTTTGACCAGTCAGATTCTTTTCATGGGTTCTACATTCATTTCAGGGTGGCCTGGGGACCCCAAACTGCCCTTAGACCCTGGCAGGCAACAGCAGTGGCCATACTGTGACATCAGCCCCTTGACAGAGGGGAGTGACTTCCTCTTTGTCCCCTGGAGTCATGTTGCCACATTGCTTCCTCCATGAAGCAAGCCCAGGTTGTAGCTGGGGAAGAAGATGAGGATCCCCAGAAAGCAGCAGAAAACTCTGAGTGGGAATCAAGTTGTCAGACCCATACTTGAAGTGTGTGGCTTTCCTGGGGAATTTTCCCTCCCTCTGCACCGCATCCGCTTAGGTTTCAAAGAGGAAACTTAGGTCCTCCCTCTCCCTTTCACCCTTGATCCCTCTGGGGGCCCTCAGTCTGCTCTCCTGACCTGTTGCCATGGAAATAGTGCCAGTGTAAGAAATCTGTCGTTGTGATGATTCTGCAGGAGTGAGTGGTGGAAGAAGGAGAAAGGTCAGGAGCGGGAAGTGAGGGGAAACTTGTGCTCCAGTTCATACTGGCCTTCTAGGTGCACTTCGAGTGCCCCCTGTTCTGCACCTGCTTCCATTCTAGAAGGAAGAGGAGGATTTTTACCTCTAGATGTTACTGACAGCATACAGATTTTTTACATTGCTTTAGCAATTATAGTTTACCAACTAATTCTCTCAGTAAGAAAGTTGCATGGAAGGTGGGTTGTTGTTGTTTTTCGTGATGTTTTATCCTGTTCATTTTGCTGTCTCATGCTCCTGTTGTCTTTTGACTCTGCTCTGTTTTAAGAAGCAGTTGTGGCAGGGCAACTCTTCTAACACCAGTTGCTTTTTGAAAATATTTTCAAGTGAGTTCCAGTGGGCTAAATTCTAAGCACTTACCTGAGAGAAGCGTTCTTGTCAACCCTGTCCTTGTAATAATCTCAAACTCCCCTGTGGTGTGTTTTCATTTTGCCTGGCGTTCCTGCCACCTGCCCCCAACTGGAAGCTGTCTTCATGCCTTGAACCTTTGGCTGTCTCCTTCCCACATTTAATACTGCAGGAGTCTTGGGCTCCACTTCTTCATCAGGGTTGTGTTTCCTTAAGGGTCCGGCACTTTCCCATTCCTTTTCTGGGTAGTAATATCTTGGGACAGACATGTTTTCTTCCTTTGACAGAGTGTCATGGTAGCCATTCTTCATGTTAACATCCTAACAGTGACATAGTCTGGGTCTTAGTAACTTAGGGGACAACCCAGGGCATTGAGTGGTTCCAAAAATAGGGAGTCAGAATGTACCCCATAGGTTCTTCTTTTATTATTGTTATTATTTTTTATTTATTGCTTTCTTTTGGTAGTGCTGGGGATTGACCCCACAGCCTGGAATATACTAAAGCACTCTCCCACCAAGCTGTACCAGCAGCCCTATTTTTTCGCACTTAAAGAAAAGATATTTTTGATAATAATAATTTTATGTATTTGTAATAATTGTATGTACTTAGAAATAAGTAAACGTATGTGTCCATAAGCGTATTTATGGAATACAGTGTAATATTTTGATACATAGGTAATGCATAGTGATCAAATCGAGGTAATTAGTGTGTCTGTCACCTCAAACATTTATCACTGTTTTTGCATTGGGAGTGTGGAAAATGCCTTTCTTTTAGTAGCTGTTTTGGAATAGACAATAAATTATTGTTAAATGTAATCACTCTGCTGCTCTATGGAGAACTAGAACCTATTCCTAACTGTAAGCTTTTTTATTTTTTTTTTTTGGGGTGATACTGGGGTTTGAACTCAGGGCCTCACGCTTGCCCACTTGACCCACTCCACCAGCCCCAGACTGTAAGCTTTTACCCATTGACCAAGCTCTACCTTTCTTCCCTCCCCAGCTTCTGGTAGCGCCTCTTTTACTCTCTAATTCTATGCAAACAACTTTTTACATCCACATGTGAGTGAGAACCTGCAGGACTTGTCTTTCTGTGCTGGCATATTTCCTTAACATAATGGCCTCCAATTCTACCCAGTTCCCAGAAGTGATAGGATTTTACTCTTTCCTGTGACTGAATAATAGTTCATTATTTATATGATTCTTCTTCCCTTTTTCTTTTCCCCTAACCATTGGGAGATTACAGGCATGTACTTGTTCTGTGAAAAGTCAGCTTTTCCTATTTATTGTCTTCTATGATATTTGAAATCTATGCTTGCTATCCAAACAATTGATCCAAAACAGACATTTGAAGTATAACATGAAAAGCACAGTATTTGAATGCTGGGCATGGTGGCTCACACCTGTAATTCTAGCACTTGGGAGGCTGAGCCAGGAGGATGGAGAGTTTCAAGGCCAGGCTGAGCTATGTGGTGAGTTTGAGGCCAGCCAGGGCTTTGTAGTGAGACCCTGACTCAAAATACAACAAACAAAAAGCACAGTTTTTGAGACCTCTTGTATAGATTGTGGTCTCCTTGGGTAAAAACCTAGTAGTAGAACTCAGCTGTGAGCACTTTGGAGGTGGGGATGCTCCTGAGCAGGAGAGGGGGCCACATTTTGTCCTGTTGGTCTCAGATTTCCCACGAACTTCAGCCCGCCCGCCCTCCACTTAGCATTTTTAATCTGCAGTTGCTCTCACGTGAGCCCCGTCCTGATTGTCCAGAACTCAGTGCACGTGTCTCAGTCTCCTTTCTGTGGCCCACAGGGCTGTGCCTTATGCCAGTAAGGGACTCAGGAAGTGTGCAGTGGGCCCTTGTCCACAGGCGAGGAGTTTGTATACAGCGCATTTAATTTTTCTTGAGATTTCATGGTTAAAATGGTTTTCCGTGTTTTCTTTTATTTCAGGTCATTATTATTTTCCTGTTAAAGGTGTCTGTGTGTGTCTGACCTGTTTGAAAGCTTTATAAAATTCTTAATTTTATAGCCAAAGCTTGAATGCCTGGCTTGTGTTCATTTCATCAGACTGGAACGTCAGAATGAAAATGGTCCACCAATGTGCTTGGAAAGGTCCTACTGGATTCATTTGGCGGGGGTGGGGGGACGAGATGGCTGCATGGTTATTGGATTTTAGATTGCATGTTCACTTCCGATTCCCGCACTGGGGCTCTGCACCTGGCTGCACTGCCGCCTGCAGCACATTTAATTTAAAGCCAGGGCCCCAGGGGACAGCATGTGGCAGGCTTCCTGAGGGCTTCTCCCTGCCACGTTTAAAGGAGCCATTTTAATAGAATTTGGGCAGTGGGAATTTGGGGGGTAATGAGGACAAGAGTGATTTTGAAGAGGTCTTAAAATCACGTAATTTGTTTCCACCTGAACTGCAACGTCAGTCCAAGCACAGTGACCCGAGCCTGTGGTTCCAGCTACGCTGGAGGCGGAGGTGGGAAGATCATCAGCCAAGGCCAAAATTCACTCAAGACCCTGTCTGAAAAACAAACTAAAAGCAAAAGGACTGGGGGATCTGGTTCAAGTGGTAGATGCTGGCCTCGTAACCAGGAGGCCCTGAGTTCAATCCCCCAGTATGGCAAAAATAAAAATTAAATAAAACATTACTCTTTCAGCTTTATGAACAACAAAAATAAATAAATGAATAATAAATACATTACTCCTTCCGTTTGAAGACTACATTGCTACAGTTTAAACTCCATTTTATGTTTTCCTTTTGAATGTTCAGAGTAATGAGTAATTTGTATGTTTTCCAGTTTGTTAAGGATTTTTTTTGTGTGTGTGGTACTGGGGTTTGAACTCAGGGCCTTCACCTTGAACCACTCCACCAGCCCTTTTTTTTCTAGTTTTATGCTGAGTATTTTGGAGATAGAATCTCTTGCACTATTTACCAGGGCTGGTTTCGAACCGCAACCCTCCTGATCTCTGCCTCCTGAGTAGCTAGGATTACAGACCTGAGCCACCGGTGCCTAGACATGTTTTTGTTTTTTTTTTTTTTTTTAATTAACTTGAAGTATTTGAGTTTAATCTCTTTGTCAATCCAGTTTTCCTTTAAAAAAGAAAAGGTCTGAAAATAAAATCTTTACCCTAGATGGTTTTATTTTGAGCCTGTGAGAGATGGCATGTCTAGAGAACCATTTGCTCTCACAGCTAATGAGGCCCGAGAGGACAAAACTGCTTGGTCAGTGGCTGCTTCCTTTCCACCTTTTATTCTGATGAGGAGCTGCGAGAGGAATTAGCGTCTCATATGGGGCACCAGTAAAGTGAACGCCGTGATTACAGCCAGCATGGCGTGAGCACAGCACTGTGTGCAAGTAACATGTCACAGGTAAAGCCTTGCTCTGCCTTTTGCCCATCCTTTTAGGAAGATGGCTACAATCACTTGCAAATTATGTAGGTCCACCTCCAGCAGGTTTTCCTTCAGAAAGGAAACCCCAGGAGGCTTTGTGTAGAAAAGATAGGTCTCCAAATATCCTTCCTTTGAGCCAATTTTTTGAAGTCCTTTTTTAACAAGTTACTGGTTCCAAGTGTGGCGCCTCCTTGCCACTCTGTGAATGCGCTTTCTTGTAAAATTTCCTGCACACTGACCACTGTCTGCCCTGTGCCTGTGTTTGTTGCTTGGGGACCTTCCTCATTGACCCAGGTCCTTCCTGCCCAGCAAAGGTTTCATCTTGACACGGTGGGGCTAGAATGAGACTTGAGAATATGGCTCATTCATTTTCTTCTCTCAACTTTAGTTTATTTTCCGTAGTGCACATAACTGCTCATGGAGAGATACTACATTTGATATTCTTGCAAACAGCAAAAACAGTTTTAAGGAAATGTCATGCTAATCTCTTTAATTTCTTTCTTTCCTGATAATTCTAGTGATGAGATTAGAGCTATAAACTACAGACCTCCGGTAATCCTTGCCACTCTCCTTCTTATCCTATTTGTTTGACTTGCAAAGTTTTACTTGTCTGTTTTCGAGTGTATGTTAATTGAGTACTCAGTATTCATTACAAATAATCCTGTCTGCTTTCTCCCTGAGATTCTAAAGGCCCTTTTGCTCTTTCTGTGAAAGCCAAGCAGACTGTATTAACTTCTGGTTTAATTTATAAAACCAATGTGGAACTTGTTGGCATAACACCTTAAAGAATGGCGTATTTAATAATTGGAAGTCTTTCCATCAGATTTGTCTCCAGTGTGAATTAATATGTTGCTGACTTAGTGTTTGAGAAGACGGAGTCCTTGACCTGCTAGGTTGAAAGAATTGTGACTGCTCTGAACCTCTGTGGTCTTATAGCTGTGCCATTTCCCCGGTGAATAATTAGAGGCATTTGAAGGTAGTGCGGCTGAAGCCAATTTGTGTCTTTCACTTTGCATATTGTTGAAGGCTCATGAATTAATCATAAGCAGGGCAAAAAATTAACTTCTTCAGACACATACTTTGATGGGTCATGAGGGAGAATGTAAAGTGATCTGTAAAATATTCTACTGATCCTCTAAGTATTAAATTATTATACCTACAGGCTAATTTCGGGGGGAAGAGTCCCCCCTTTCAGGAACTGAGTAACATGTTTGAAAAAAGATCAAAGTTTGTTATTTTCTAGGACTATGAAGAGGCCTAGAAATGAGCAATGTTATGATTTCCTGAAAATCTTAACTCTCATGTTGTCTTTATTTTAATTTCAGGTGTATTTGTTTTACTTTTAAATTATTCAAGTTTTATGCTCTTATAACCACACCTGAAACTTCTTATTGATTTGGCCAAACATATTGTGCAAGCCAGCAAATTACTTATCCTTGCCATCCTACTCTAAAACACGAAGCCAAAGAATACAGACCTCCATACTTGTTGAAAACTTAGTTTTACATTAAAATCTTTTCCCATGTTCTCTTTTTCTTTCTTTTCAGCGAGCGAAACTGAAATTGCATTCTTCTGTGAAGAAGATTACAAGAAGTACCAGGCTAATCCCGTTTCATCCTGGTGAAAAAGTCCCAGGAGCTGCAGTTCTGCACACCTGTCTTAAGCTCTTTATTCCCCTAGTGAGTTTTTGAAATTGACAAATAAATCTTAAAAAATTAATCCCAGGCTTGATGATTTCCCTCTCTGCAGATCCCTTCTCTCCCCCCTTCCCTTCCTTCCTTCCATTCTTGTTGTGAAATAATATGAGAAAAACACTTGATTTTTTTTTAATGCAAGAAATCTTTATTAAAAAATCATAATTTGTTTTCTAAAATTAGGGATCCTTTGGGTGTTTTTCATGTTGAGCTCTTTGAAAAGACAAGACTAAGATCGTATTTTTTATTAGTATTTTTTCCATAGGTTCTTATTGATAGTGGATTGTTGATCCTGAGTTCGTGTCCTGGCATAGTCAGTGATCAAAGATGCCAGACCAGGAGTTCAGTTGAAGCAAGCGCTAAGTTTATTGATGGGTGGGACTTGGTGGAAGAGAGCCAAGAATGGCTGAAGTCTAGGAGATGGTGCAGGGCACTAACTGGCTGAGGTCCAGTATTCTGCCTTGAAACGATATTTGTGATTGGCTGGTGCCAAGTCAGCTTCTCACTGAACGTGGCCACCTGTCTGCACCTCTCATTATTGAACTGCTTATTTGTAGATGGTCTGGTCAGTTTGTCCTGGCCTCAGGGCCCACATCTTGCAGCTTCATTTTGTTATTTTTGTTAGAGGCTTGTTATTTTTGAGAGAAACCTTGTTTCTCACGCACCTTTTACATGTCTGTTTCTAAAGTGCCTCTCTCGTCCAAAATGGAGTCATCTTTGTCATTGCTCCCCTTACATTATTAGAGCTCTTTGTCTACCAGGATGGTCAGGACCCTCCCTTAGTTCAGGGAGTGTGGCATTGAATGGCACTTGTTTTGGGGAGGTCTTCAGATGTAAGAGGGTTGCTTTTTTCTTTTTAGTACCTTAGTCTGCACAAATAACATTGTGACAGTTTTTTCTGGATTGTGTTTCCTGACCGTTGTTATTGTTCCTATAATGAGACCAAGTTCACTTATTTGGAGAGAAAGTAGTCAGATACTTCTGGAGAAAATTGTTCATGGAGTACAAGTCTACATCCTGGAAAATGTGTTCTTTCAAAATGTTCACTACTTGGGGTTTCTGAGAATGGCTGACTACCAGTGCCTGAGCAGTGGTTGTTCAAAGTGCATCTCAGTTCCCTGCATCCAGTCAAAACTCCCAGAGAGATTTCTAGAATTACTGTTTACCATGAAGTCGCCACTGGGATTTCAGGTTTTGTGATGGTAGAATCCAACTTAAGAAAACAGTGTATTCACATGTGAATAAATGAATAAAAAAAAAGAAAAAAGAGAAAACCTATTATATATTTTTTTGAAGTCAGCATTGAAAGTCTGATTAGTATGGTCAGAAGCAGCTTCACTTTGTTGAAAGATTTAATAGAGTTTTATAAAACAGAAATTTATTTTATTCATTCATTCATTGTACAAAGTACTGAGTAAACAGATGACCTGGAACACAATTTTTGCCGTGGTGAGTGGGGAAAGATATACACACCAGTGATTTTGGTAGCAAAGCAGAAAACTTGCTGTGGGAGCATTGACAATGGGCTCGTTAATTCTGTGTGGGATTGTTTTAATTTTAGTTTTTAAAAAGTGATGATTGAGGACTCCAGGTATGGCTTAAGTGGTGGAGTCCTTGCCTGGCAATGTAAGGCCCTGAGTTCAAATCCCACTAGGAGCAGAAGGAGTGCTGGTGGAGCTGTACCTTCAGAGATTTAACAGGTATTTTTTCGTAGAAAAAAAGAAGGGAGAAGCTTTCTGGAAGGGGGGCTGGCATATGCGAAGGACAAGTCCTGTGAGGCAGCTTGGGGTTTCAGTAGAAGCACAGCTTTCAACTTGCCGTGCACCAGAGTGTGAACTACAGGAACAGTGAGGTCAGAAAAGTGGGGGAGCCAGGCCTTGGAAGTCACACGGAGGCCTTGGACCTTGACCTAGTATGCAGTTGGGAGCTAGTGGCAAGATTTTAACAGGTGAATTGTATGATTCCATTTGTATTTTAGAAAATGAATTGTGGCTGCTGCAGTCCAGACACAGTTTCGTGTCTGGATGATGGAAAGACTGGAAGCCAGCTGTCACAGGCAAGGTGAAGATAGGAAGGCCTGGCCTGGGCAGGGGAATTTCCGAGGGGATATTGAGGAGAGGAGACCACCTTGGCTGTGTTCCCCAGACCTAAGCTGTGGCAACAAGGGCTTTATGTGTGTGATCTCATTCAATTTTGACCATAGCTCTTCAGACTGGATGAGGAAATTGGGGTTGCGGGGAACTTGAGCCAGGTCTGCCTTAAAATCCTGACCTCTCCCATTCCAACTGGTGGCCTCCCAGTGGAGAATAGAATGTTTAGGACTTGGTGAGTACCTGGGGGTGGGCAGTGTGGAGAGGAGGGAGGAGTGAGGACGCCAGTGACCTGCTGTAGAGCAGCTGGGTTGATGGTGACAGCTACAAACCAGTAGGGAGCTCTAGCAGAGCAGGCTAAAATGTATTCTGTTCATTCATTTCCAGAACATTCAATTTACATACAGGCTTTCTCTTTTATCTGAAATTAGCATGTCTTTACCTGTATGTTTTCTTTTAAATAAACAATACAAAAGTATGTATAAATAATGCCTTTTTGGTGGTATTTTGTCTTATAAAAATCAAATATAGGCTATTTTTACTTGTAAATACAGATTTAAATTTAAAAAATATGGATTGGAAGTATGGCTCAAGTGATCAAGTGCTTGCCTCATAAGTGTGGAGCCCTGAGTTCAGACTCCAGTACTGCTAAAATAAACAGATGATAGATAAAATAAATACATTATGACTAAAAAGGACTTTTACCAGGAATGGGAAATTGGTTCAAAATTAAGAAAGGTATCTAAGTAATTTACAAACTTTACAAGTTAAGGACGAGAAGTCGTGCTTATCTCAATTGACGCCAAAAGAGCATATACCTGAATGAAAATCAGCAATGGGTAGAAACACCTTTGACTCAATGAAGGTTACTCACAAAAAAGCTACACAATGATAAGGGTTTCAACAGATATATTTGGTATGAATGAGACAAGGGCGGCCGGGTATTGTTCTGTATTGTTCTGCAGGTGTCATTGTAGCCAGTGCAGTACGAAAAGTAGTAAAAGCCACAGATCTTGGAAAGGAGGAGCCAAACATTCATCTGCAGACAATGATTGCTAGAGAATCAAGTGACAAGTGACAAAAACTAAGAGATTTCAGGAGTGCTGGATAATGAGCCAAAAATGAACTACTCACAAAAGCTATAAAGCATTATTTGAGGGTTATAAAAGACCTAAATACAGAGAGGGGTTCCATGTTCGTAGGTGAAGATACAAGGTTGTAAAGAGGCAGAAGTGCTCCTAATCTGTAATTTAGTGCAGTCTCTATCAAAATCCCCAGGGAACTTGAGCGTGGATTCTAAAGTTCCTTTGGAAAAGTAAGTATGCAAGAATAAGATCAACTTGGAAAAACAAAAAGTGGGTGTTGGGGGAGGGTTGCCTACCAGACTTCAAAATATATTTGTAAAGTCGTAGTAATCAAAGTGGCTTGGCGATGATGCAGAATTAAGAAGGCCTGTGGAACAGTGTGGAAGCCAGCAGATTGTAGGGAAATTTAGTGCGTATCGGTGGTATTAGCAATCGGGGAGGAGAGAGACAGCACCTGGGCCACATTAAAGATGATCGCTTGACATCATTCACTGAATTTCAGATGCATTCAGTAAACATGAGAAAATGAGTTTATTAGAAAAAAATGGGAAATTTCAAAAGGCCTGGGCAAGCATGGCCTCCAAGCTTGCCATTGTGGGCAGGTTGTCCCCAGACACGATGGAGCGTGAAGTCACTTAGCATTAGAGAGCACAAGGTAGCAGGAAGTTTCAAAGGCAAAATACATGAAGACCTGAACTTGTGACTTCATCGCAAGTTGTAGGCAGTGCAGCAGGGACATGGAAGGCATGCTGGGACAACTGTTATCTCACACAGTAACAAGGGGCCCAGAAAATGACAAGGTGGCACTCATGATGAGTGGGAGAGTTAAGATTGTTCTGTGAACTTTCAAATGTTCTGCGAAATACTAAAAGCTCTCTGTGGGCTATAAATATATAGGAAATGAAAAAGATAGCAAAACTAATATTTAGTGCAATGTAACTTAAAACATTGTAAACATTAATAATTAAATGTTTTATTTCTTTGTTAAGAAATAAAAACAAAAACCCAAACATCTTGGAGGTGAAAAAGTAAAAATCTCTTTCTTCAAAGGTCAGTCCTTTGCATAACTTAACGTACATACTTTAGCATGTTTTTCTGTTTATATATCATTTAAATATGTATCTATGAACCGGGCACAGTGGTATGGATCTGTTTGGGAGGCTGAGGTGGGTAGATCGATTGATCTACCTACCTATCTATCTCCCTACCTGTTTATCTATTTATCTGTCTATCTGTCCATCTATCTATCGATCTCTATATAATATTAATGTGCCAGACAGTGTACTGTTGTTTAATGCTCACAGTAGACTTGTGGTAGAACTTCCTCAAAGCTTGGTTCCCCCTAGAGAAGAGAATGAAGACCATCTTGTAGAGTTTGGAGGAGCAAATGAGACGTGGCCTCCAGAGCCCTTGGTAGACAGGCTCTGGCATGCAGAAAATGCTGGTTACATGTCTTGAGATGAGCAGTATGGCAGCTACAACCTCATTTTGAAGCAAAGCTCTGACCCTCACACATATTACACAACTGGCCAGGTAATCTAGCAAGTCAAAGAGCAGGTGTCTCTGGCTTCAGACTCCACTTTCTGCCCCACTCTGAGAACATGGGAGCACCAGGAACTTGGAGAAACTGTGGGAAGGGTGCCAACCATGGGTCAAAAGACAGCACGGCCATTGGTAGCCTGTTGTGCATCTCCCTACGCCAAGACTCACAGGCCCTCACCCACCAGCTAGCCAAGCTTATGTGAGTCGGAGGAACCTCTTGCCATGGTGAATCTGTTTTCTGTCCTTTCTTGTCCAGACACGTGCAGGAGCAATGATGATGCCCTG